ACTCTCTCACTCACACCTAGGGACAATTTAGAGTTACCAATCAGCCTAACATGCATGTTTTTGGTCTGTGGGAGGAAACCGAATGACCCGGAGAAAACCCATGCATGCACGGAGAGAACATGCAAACTCCACCCAGAAAGGCCCCTGGACGGGGGTTTGAACCAAGGACCTGCTCGCTGAGAGGCAGCAGCTCTACCAGTTGCGCCACCGTGCTGCCCATTTAATTGAATTACTGTGTTCTAATTATTGTGACTGGATTTTACTTTAAACTGATAAGATTGTGTTTTCATTCACAGCTGTAATGTTTCTGTTAATATAATTCATGTTGCTTACCACAACTTGTCGTTTAAGGCAGTTACATACATACATATATATATATGTATATATATATATATATATATATATATATATATACAGCAGTTAGCTGGAGCATCCTGGAAGGTTGCAGTAATGTATTGTCTAAACTACAAGGATGGTTTGCAGTGTGAATCTCATTCAGAGAGCACACACACAAAAGTTTGCACGTGTGTGCCTGCTCACCGCCCCCTGGACACCAATCGTCTGTGAGGACCCGTTGTGCACAATTTCTTGGACAGCAATGCCTGCATATTAAAAAGAAAACTAAGTCTGCCTTCTTCTCTTACTGAAACGTGTTAAAGAAGCGTGGAGCTTTCAGAATTTGTCCCAGTGACGCTTCACTTTTAATATTCAGCTGTGCTTTCACACTTATTTAACTTCATGCGACGTGGCAGTCTCTCGCCCGAAGGCTTGCAACTTAATTTACTCCTCAAACATCAGTCAGTGCAGATGAACGACTCTGAGTGAGTTCACACACCTCTGCAGCTTTTCAGTGCTGAAAATGGAGACGGACTCCATTTTGATCTTAAATGTCACCTTTTCGTTCAACCTTTATTTATACAGGTTAGTCTCACTGAGCCTCGAGGACTCATTTACAAGAGAGACCTTAAGTAGCCATGATAAAATAAAACTACTCTGTGTGCTCACCTTGTATATTTTATCACGCGCCGGTTTCTGTATTTCAAGGTCAAGGTTTCTTTATTGTCATTCTCATCACATGTGGTACATGTGGTGGAATGAAACTGTGTACCCAGGGTCCCAGTTACATCCAACAAAAGCATGAACTGTAAAGAAAAACAGTAATAAGATCTAAGATATGGACTAAGAAATACACTAAACTAAAAATACGCGAAGCACTAGTAGTATAAAAACAATACACCAAACAGCAGCACGAACATGAGTCTGTGTGAGCAGATGAGTAGTAATGAACACAGCAGCATGAAATAAATCAGCAGCATGAGATCAGCAGCATGGAAAATTTGCAGCACACGTCAACAATCAAGTGGCATTACAGTGATTTTTTTTTTTTTTTTCCACAATAATTATTCTGGTTAGAGATTCATGAGTCCAACAACCTCAGGGTAGAAGCTGTTCCTCAGTCTAGTGGTTCTACATTTAATGCTCCTTAATGCTCCTCCTGTATTTATGAAACTGGAAAAAGATCAAGTTTTGTGTGTGGGCAAATTATTTTATATTTGGAAGATTGAGACACTTTTTGTTTTTTATTCAAAATATATAGAAACATATTATTCCAATCGACAACAAGATTTGTTTTGATTTTTTTTTTTTATTGTTACGTCTCTATAAATATTAATAAAAATGGCCTCTTTGCATTTATAAAATCTTGCTGACAGACAGAAACAGACTGAGGAGGAGGCCTGACAGTCAAGTGTCAGAGTTAAATGCCACATGTTCTTTATTCTCTGACTTTTTGTAGTTTTAAATCAGAAAGCACAGGCCATGTGATGAATAATATTAGAACATGCTTTCTTTGGACTTCACACTTGTTTGTTATCCCAATCATAATTTTGTGATTTAGTAATTTTATTTATCTGATTCTGCCATGACATAGGTTTTTCAAATTTGCAAAAAGTACCCTTTTAATTAAAAGCATATTAAATTTCCTTATATGTGATTTTATTTTTTTATTTACAGATTAATCCTAATTTACACCCTGTGCATGTTGTAGATGTCCACACAAAGCTCTGAGCACAGTCAGTTTAGCAGGTTTGTCAGGTTAAACAAATGGATGAAGGGTTAATGTTATGAATTCAAGCAGGCGAAAATTATGGTAGTCTGCTTAAATGTAAGAAAAAAATAGGCACATCACAGTGAGTCACAAAGCCAACCACATTTAGAAAGCCTTAAAAGATCACCAAAGTTCATGCTCAACGACAAATCCAACAATGTTCAGTCAAGTCATCTGGACAGTTTCTTTATTTTTTATTTTTTTTGCTGAGACGTTTCGTTCTTCATCCAAAGGACTTCTTCAGTTTGAGGAGCCAAACAAACAGGAGTCCCACAAATACCACACTCACATAGTTGGGAAAAAAAATAGCTTGCTGGGGATAAGATGGTTTCTGAGACCCGCCCTCTCCCCCGTCACAACGTGGTTCACCACGTGGTTCACCACAATCAACCATCTTATCACCAGCAAACTGTTTTTTTTCCACTATGGAATGTGTGATTCCATTTTGTTTTTGGCTTATCTGACTGAATAAGTCCTTTGGATGAAGGATGAAACATCTCAGAAAAAAAAAAAAAAAAAGAAGCTGTCCAGATGACCTGACTTAAAATATCAATTTAATATTTTTCAAATTGCAACATTGTAACAAAAATAATCTACGATATTGTCTAATGTAAATGTTTAAAACTGGTTATAATTTTGTTCCCCTGTATTTGAGAAAAAAAAACTTAAAAGTAGATGAAATCTTACACATCTTATGTTTTAGCGTCAAAATCACCCAATGCATTTAAAAGTACTTTGCTTATTATTTTGGTTATGTAGATCAGATTCACCTGGAAACAGCTGTGGACTGTGAGCAGTAAACTTTGCAGTGGTTCATATCACACCAAATCTTGTGTAAATGTTGCTGCGGTCAGTTCCTGGACTTTTAAACCCGGAAGACACAGTCAACAGAAGTGTCTGAAAGGGCTTTCAACAGACGTCTTTTACAAACAACAGAAAAGTCTAAAAGTAGGAAGACATCCCACAAAGGCTGACGACATCAGCTGAGCTGATATAAAGAGAATAAACAGAAGTGTGATGTTTTCTGGACTATCACACACTTCAGGCACACACAGGAATGTTGTTCGTCAGCTCACACCCATCCATGGTCAATCCATCAATGCGAACACATGGACACACACACACACACACACACTGAGGAAAACCAAACCCGGTCTTGATGCTTTGGTCCCAAAGAATCTTTACTGTTTACTTTTTTTT